TGTGAATTTTATTACGATAACTTTGACTTCTCAAATGCAACTAGACTTACTTTTCCACTAAAAAATATACTTAAGTTGAAAATCAAAGCTTTATTTCGTCTATTTATCGTATACACAGAAACAAAAAAAAAAAACTTTAAATAAAACATACATAATAGTAAAATTTTTTTAAATCAATACATTCATTGCTCTGCTCAAAATCTTAAATCCGTTGTTATTAAATAAAATAATAAATTGCAACAATAAATAATATGTAATATATATATTTTTAAAGTTACGTTCTTAGACGTTTTAAAATTATTAAGCACCTACAAAAATATTTCTTAAACCTTATATAGCTTTTGAAATAATGAGTGTCTTACGTTAAATAGATCACAAAATACAAGAGCTATAAGTAACATAAAATAAATAATTTGAGTTTTTAACTACAATCAAAGTTTCGGTTTTAACTTATAATATTATTAGGTATTAATGTATTACAATTCAAAAATATGGATGGTTACACATTGAAGTAAAATTTGCATTATCAACGAAGGAATTTCAACTTCTGTTTTTTATACAAATTACTAATTAGAACATCTGAAAGTATCAACACAATTAGTAAGCATTCATTTTATATACCTTATATTAAACGAATAAATGAAACGTTTTTCTATTAGAAAATAATTTTATTTATAACATGGATTTTTTCATTTTTTAATAATATTAATAGAATTTAATTTGAATGTATGCCAAAAACATTATTATCTTCTGCAAAGTTAATATATTATACATTATTTAAATTTTTATAACTTTTCAATAGCGAGTTAAGAGTTTTATTTCATTAAAAATATTATCTTCAAACAATAAGTGCAGTATTATGAATACAAACGTTATGATAATGACAATAGTACACTAGTACTGAGTAAGTAAAAGTTAAAATATAAGATACAAAAATATGAATACAATGAGTAAACAAGTACTCTTTAATTATGATTGAGTTTTTTGTTACATACAATTTATTATTAACAGGATCCATTTCACATTTGTGATATAAAAACTTGTTTTTATTTTTACAAGTTTAAACAAAAAAACATAATCACAGTATTTTTTGAACACTACAATTATATTTTATTTACTTTTTAATTATTAGACCTATCTTAAACATCCTGCCATAAGTTTGTATAATATAATAAAATTAATAAAAACATTAATTTGTACCTTGCAAGGTCTGTTATTAATTATTATTAACATCAATAAGTTATATTAATTAATTATTAATAATATTACTATTTTTTATTTAACAACATTTTGTTTATTTAAATCAAAGGAAATGAGATACTTACCTGAAATTTGATATTTTATTAATTTCAGAAAAAATAAATGAAAAATAATACTGTTAAATAAAATCAAGTTACAATTTAAATACCTATTAAGATTCAATACTAAATGCATGGATCCTCTTAAGTATTTTTTAAATTTTTTTAAATACATTTCAAGCATATATTATATAGTATATTATATTTTACAAAAAATCATCTTTGTTCTAATAAGCAAATATGTTTAAGACATTTATCATAATGTGTATATTAACTATATTAAAACAAAGTGATTTAATAAATAATATACGCCTAAATTTTCCAACTTAAAACTTAAATACAACAGTCCAAAAGTGTTGCATAAATTACAAAAATTTAATAAACTTCTACAATTAAAAAAATAATTCCAGTAGTCCAGTACTTAAAATTATATTAAAAAGTGCCAAAAGTGTAATAATAATCACCAAGTTTCTTATGTTTTACCTCAGTTAATGTTATTCGTAAAGATATTAAATTGAACACATAATAGCATAACTTATGGACACGCTATTAAATTTAATAACTTATTTTTATTTTTATTATTTGTTCACCATTCTGCAGAAGAAGCTTCTTTTTTTCTTTTAAAAAGGTTTTAAAATTACGTTACGCAAAATCCGTATAGGATTTTAGAAAATCATATAACACCAAACTTCGATAATAAATAGTAGTTAGATACCTAGAAAAATCAATCATTTAGGYACCTACTTTTTTATTTAACATAGTAAGTTAATCATTACAGTAATTATTAAAATTTTTCAACAACTCTATGTTCTTTATACTAAATTAGTAAGCAATAACCAGTTGAGAAGGATCGCGTTCCTTATACATATATAGGAACGAAGTTTGGAAGGAGTTTTATCTAAAATGTTGGAATGAGAAACGGGAAGGAGTTCCTAAGGAACTTGAACGAAAATATCCATTCCTCAAAAAA